CCCCCCCCCCCCCCCCCCCCCCCCGCTTCCTGGCCTAGTTAGGACCTTAGTCACTGGAGTGCGGGGCGGTTCTAGGAGAGTCTAGCAGGGAGTCCATGGAAAGGAATGCACATCCCGGGCTGACACCTCCTGATTCCCGTCTAATCCTGAGTACCTTGGACAATTTCCCAGCCTGCACTGCGGGGCAAGGGTGGGCAGACGTCCTGTCCTTCTCTACAGCCAGTATTTCCTGGAGGTGTAAAATCTGTTTTCTGGGTGGGGGTTGGTGTGCGGGCTCCTGGACTACAGATCTGACCTGGTCCTCATCTTTTCCCCAGGCCTGTGCAGTGGGACTGATTGCCATTGGTGTAACAGTTCAGGTTGTCTGGAATCAGGCCATTAACCAGGAGACTGTCCCTGGCTCCCTGTTGCCTGTGGTCATCATTGCAGTGGGCGCCTTCCTCTTTCTGGTGGCCTTTGTGGGCTGCTGTGGGACCTGCAAGGAGAACTACTGTCTTATGATTACAGTGAGTGGGGTGTGGACCAGCATGACTCTTGGGACTACCAGAGGGCATTTTTGTGGTGAGGGGCTGGGTGAACAATACCAGAAGTGTCCCAGGAATTGACTTCAGAGCCAACTCACTCCCGCCCTGTCCCCTTGCAGTTTGCCATCTTCCTCACTGTAATCATGCTTGTGGAGGTGGCTGTGGCGATTGCCGGTTATGTGTTTAGAGACAAGGTAAGCAGGGAAAAAGTGGAGCCCGGCCTCAACTGCTCTGGGACTCGAGGGCCTGAACTCTGCTCTCAGCAGCACTTTCCCTACTCTTAGGTGAAGTCAGAGGTTAATAAGGAATTGCAGCAGTTCATGCAGAATTACCTCAAAGACAACACAACAGCCCCAGTTCTGGACAGATGGCAGAAAAAAGTGAGTGGGGTGGCTGGGAAGAGGGATAGCGGGGATGGAAGATCCTCATCTCTGGCGTAAAGTGGAGGTTCGCGCTCCCATCCCTCCTTCCTTTCCTAGTTTGAGTGCTGTGGGACTACTAACTACACAGACTGGGAGAACATCCCTGGTATGGGCAAGGACCGCGTCCCTGACTCCTGTTGTATCAATATCACTGTGGGCTGTGGAAACGGCTTCAAGGAATCCACCATCCATACCGAGGTAGGGAGAAGACATTAGATGAGGGAAACTTGGGAAATGTTTCTGGAGGCAGGAGAGATGAAATGGGATCAGGGTTGGATCGGGGTTGGAGGAAGGGAACAGAAGGTCCGGAAGAGAGGCAGGGAGGTGGGTAGGAAGTTTCTGTTGCCTCTTCAGGGCTGCCTGGAGAAAATGGAGATCTGGCTGAGGGAGAACATCCTGCTGATAGCTGCAGCAGCCCTGGGCATTGCTTTTGTGGAGGTAAGAGATGCTGTGGTTTGGGGCTCTGAATCAGCCCCAGGCAGTTGGGGAGCAGGAGGCCCTGGCCTGGGAACAGTGGCCCTTGGCTGGGTCTGGAGAAGCCTGCCCTGCCTCGTCTCCACCCTCATTTCCACCTTTCCTTTTAGGTCCTGGGAATAGTCTTCTCCTGCTGTCTGGTGAAGAGCATCCGAAGTGGCTATGAAGTAATGTAGGGTGGGATTTGGATATTATCTAAGGGAGTGGATTCTCCAGGTTTTTCAATTAAACGGATTATTTTTTCAGACCTAAAAAGGAGATGGTCTCAGTTTATCTTAGTGGTGGACGGCCCCTTCCTTTTCCTTCTCCCTGTCCCTGCCCTGGGAATAGGCAGACATTTTTTTTTGGGGGGGGGGGTATTTTCTTGAAGGTGTTGGTCGGGTTGGCAGTGACAGAAGTGGGGTCCAGAGGATGATGTGTCTGAGGATCCTTCCAGACCCCTGGTTTAGCTTAGCCTTCAAACCGTGTTCCAGGAGCGTTCATGAGGCTATCTCCTGCATAAGTCAAAGAGATTTTCCACCAAGGGCCTACATGGTAGAGCCTGGCCATATCTGTTTTGGATAACTTTTTGGCCTTCTGATAGTTTGAGGGCCAGGAGGAGACCTGGCTCTTTCAAGAACGGTTAAGTTGCTTGAGACCTGTATGGCCAGTGTCCCTGCTCTTGCCCTCGATAATAGGGGAATTTAGGTATTTCCTTCTTTCATGAAGCCACCCAATCTGGCTATGACCATTTCTCATCACTTTTCCTTGTGTCCCCAAGAAAATCAGGTAATTCTGTGCCAGGTGCAAATTACGAATTCTCATAGTGCCCTCTGGTGGACATCTCTCTAAGTGCAGCGCCAAAAAACATCTAAGGTGGCAAGGTGGTCACCTAACACCGCCCAGTGGACAGTGGAAGTTTTGCAGGCAATAAACAGGCCACAGAGTTTGGGACTTGGGCAGCTTCGGGATTTTGGCTACTTAAATCTTGTCAGGCTCCCACCGGCACCTTCATTTCTGCCCGCTTTCTGTTTCAAAGCAAGACATATTTATTGTGTCAGAAACCAGGCAGCACCACAGTGGAGACAGAAATAAATGTCGTGCTCTTGCTGTAGAGCCAGCATCAGTAGATTGACTGGGCGGGCCGGGGAAGGACCCAGGTGAGCACAGCATCCACAAGCTTGGCTGGAAGGTAGGAGGCAGGCAGCCAGAGCAGCTTGGCATCCCAGCCGGGGCTGTAGCGGGTTCGGGGGTGACGCGCAGTCAGGGCGTGCTCTAGGCAGCCCGTCACCTTCGTTAGGTCTGGGTCACAGGCCAGGCTCATGAGGCGGCGCTGCACTTGCAAATCTGTAGCTTGGAAGAGACTGTTAGTGTGCGCTTCCCCCCCCCCCCCCTCCCCGCCTAGGGTAGCTATCTTCCGGATCCTTGGGAGGTGACAACACTCCTCCGCCTGCCCTGTTCTTCCCTTTCTGGCCCTCTCTTTCCCCATCATGCACCCAGTGTGGGCCCAGCTACTCACAAGCAGTGAGGAAAGTTTCCCCATAGTGGGCCTGTGTAGCTGGAGGCAGTCGGGCCCAACACGCCTTCAGGGTGTTCTCCAGACTCTCCAGGTTGGTCACAGGGGTTCGGAAGCAGCCAGGTTCCACAATGGAGACTTGTACTCCGAATGGAGCCATGTCCCGCCTGGAGGGTGGGTAGAGGGGTTTCTGTGTTTACCTGGGTCTCCAGGAGGGTGGACTCTAAGGTAGAAAGGTGTCACGGTGTAGGGAATGTGTCCTGATGAGAGACGATTGCTGGTTGGCTGGGATGTTTTTTCTCCCTGGCAATGAGGATTGACCTGTGTGTGGTAAGTAATCCAGTGAGCCGCCCCAGTCAAGAGACTTGTTTTCCTTTCGGAAGAAGATTTGTTGGTTGTTTTCTATGTATATGGCTGCATAAGTCCGTGGGCACCATGTGTATGCGGGAGCCGTCTTTGGTCATAGAATTACAGATTGTTCTGAGACACCTTGAAGGCTGTGAAACAAGCCTGGGTCCTCTGCAAGACCCAGACTAATCATTTTTATCCTGAGACATAGTTCTGGCTCCTTGATTTATATTTATCTATCTATCTATCTATCTATCTATCTATCTATCTATCTATCTATCTATCTATTTGTAGACAGCATCTCATGTAGCCCAGGTAATCCAGAACTCTCTATGTAGCCGGGGATGACCCTGAACTCTTGGTAACTTATCTACCTCTGATGTGTTGAGATTACAAGTGTGTGCTATCATGTTAGTCCGCCTATTTCTCTCTCTTTTGTTTAAAAGGCCTCAAACTCAGGTGTCCACCTGCTTCTGCCTCTTGGATGCTGGGATTAAAGGCAGGTGCCACCACACCTGGTTTCTTTTTTTTTAATTTCATTTTATGGGGCTGGAGAAGTGGCTCAGAGGTTAAGATAGCACTGTCTGCTCTTCCAGAGGTCCTGAGTTCAATTCCCAGCAACCACATGGTGGTTGATAACCATCTATAGTGAGATCTGGTGGCCTCTTCTGGTAAGCAGGCACACATGCAGGCAGAATGCTGTATAAATAATAAATAAATCTTAAAAAAAAAGGGGGGGCCTCTCCTAGAGGTGCCATGAAAAAAAATTCATTTTATGAGACAGGGTCTTGCTATGTAATCTAGGATAATCTTGAAATTTTCTTTTACTTAAGAAAATCCTATTCCCTTTGTGTGTGCTCCACTGTCTGTGTGTATGATAGAGGACAAATTGGTTCTTTCCTACCATGTATGCCCACTGAATTCAGGATGTCAGGCTGTGAAGCAAGCCTTCTTAAAACTACTCAGCCATCTGCTGGCTCTCATGTAGCTGCAACTTGCTATGCAGTAGAAGCTGGTCGTGAAAGTGTTAAGTACAGGCCTGTACCACCATGCCTGTGTGTGACAAGATCTTGTTCTGTAGCCCAGGCTAGCCTCAGCTCCTTGCTTCCACTTCCCTAGTTTTTGGATTACGGTGGGTGGCACTCTGCACAGCTCTCCTGCGCATTTTCTCCTGTTTTCTAGACTAAGGGCGAGCGAGCTTTGCTGGGTGGGTGCTCTGGGATCAAGCCTCATGCTGCCAATGTAGTCCAGATTAACTTAGAACTCGGGAACCTTCTTAGTCGCCTGTTCTCTTCTTCAAAGAGAAGTGTGTAGATGTGCGTCTGTGCACGTGTGCATGAAGGAGAGGACACTGTCACGTGGCTGTGGGCCCAGAGCACACAGTGAGCAGCCATACCTCGGGAGCCTCTCCCTACCCTGTCCCTTACTTAAAAAAAAAGTAAATTTTAAGGTACTACAGGCCAGACAAAATCAGTGTTGTTTTTTAAAAATTATTTTTATTTTGAGACAGGGTCTCACCATGTAGCCCTGGCTGGACCAGAACTTGCTATTTAACCAGGTTGGCCTGGAACTTACAGACCTGCTCCTGCCTCTGCCTCCTAGATGCTGGGATTACAGGTGTATGCCATAATGCTTTGCAAAATTAATGTACTTTTTGTTGTTGTTTTGTTTTTTGAGACAGGGTTTCTCTGTGTAGCAGCCCTGGCTGTCCTGGACTATGTACAGCAGACATTATGTAGACAGATCTGCCTGCCTCTGCCTCGGGAGTGCTGGGAGTGAAGGCCTGGGAATGTACTAATATATTGAACACTTATAAGCTAACTATTTAAATGTGTAAAAACCATTATTCGCCTGGAGGCAGCTGAGCCCATCTGGTTGATAACTGCAGACCGCCAGTTCTTGATCTAAAGCCCCATTTTATAGCTCCCAAAACACAAGCTTGAGTCCTGAGGACTCCGTGTGAGGGGTGTAGACTGGAATGAGCTGGTAGCTGACATGGTGGGTAAAGTAGGTACATCCACTGCCTTGGCCTGTCTTGTAGAAATTCAAGTGGAAAGCCGTGTTCTATGATGCTGACAGGAAGAGGAGGACAGGGAGGGCCACAAGGGAGATGGTGACATATCTGTTAAGTGTGGGAATGAAGCCTTACTGGTAGGCTCCACTTGAACAACCTGGGCCTCTGTCCCCAGTTCAGACTCCACTGCTCCTACTGTCTCGTTCAGCTCCTTCATATTCTCGCCATCTTTAAGCATTATTGTTTGAAGTGAGTGGTAAGCCCTAGGTGGAGGCACATGTCTGTGACACCCTGACTCATAAAATACAGAACAGAGGGCACACCTGGCCTGGGCGTGTCTCAGCGCTCCTCCCATGGGGCCCATAGGAACGCTATTTACATAGACGGGCTGAGAGAACTAAATGAGAGATACTGGCTTTCCTGCTGCAGTGACACAGGCCTGGCAAGAGGACGCAACAGGCTTGCCATCCGCCTCAGCAGAGAACAGACCCTGTCGTTTACTTCAGCATGTGTGCCACCGTGCCCCTGTGTATGTGTGTGCACAATAAACATGTGCAAGTAAATAGCTAAACCAATGCCGTTTAAAAACGGACGACAGAAGCCTTTCCCTCACATCCAGGCTGTGCCAGGCCTTGCACACACCTCACTTTACTCTGGACACCCATGAGGCAAATCTCACTCTGATTGAACAGATTTGGAAGAAAAGAACCAAAAATACCCTGAGAAGTAATCTAGTTGGCTGTGTGGTGGCTCACACCTGTGATCTGTCCTCAGTAGGCTGAGGCAGGGGGATTGCCGAGAACTCGAGGCCAGCCTGGACTAGAGTGCAATCCTGACTCAAAAAAAGGTACTCTGCCTGGCATGGTGGGGCACACCTTTAATCCCGGCACTAGGGAGGCTGAGGCAGGCTTACTTCTATGAGTTCCAGTCAGGGTGACAGAGTGAGACTTGTCTCAAACACGCACACACCGCCCCCACGATGACAACGTAACCTAAGGACACAGATCCAGCCCTGCTTCCTCTTCCGTCTCTCCTGTGTTGTCCTAGTCCCCTCTCCTAGCCTGTTTGAGTAGCGCCCCCCCCCCCCCCCCCCCAGGCTGGAGCTTGAAGCTGTGCACTCTCACCTCAGGCTGTCGGAGAAGGCCTCCAGGCCAAACTTAGAAACACAGTAGCCACCCCCACTGGCTGCTAGGCGACCCAAGAAGCTGGTGACATTGACCACCCGGCCCCGGGCCTGCTGTAGTAGGGGCAGCAGGGCAAGGGTGACCCCAATAGGACCCAGTGTGTTCACGTTCAGCACTCGCTGGAAATCGTCCTGTGTCAGCCATGGTGTGGGCCCGATGATACCAGCGACACCAGCATTATTCACCAGACCAAAGAGCCCTGGGGGAAGATGACAGACACAGGGTGGGGGTTTAGGGAGATGTTTCCTTCCTGGGAGGATCTGAGCCCTGTTCCTCCCCCACAGCCTCATGGAGTCCTAGGATTACTGTGCAGACCAGGTTCCTGGTGGTTCCACTGCACTCACCAGCTTCTCCAACATGTGTCTTCACCCACTTGGCAACCTGCTGTACATTCTCGGGATCGGTGACATCCAGCAGTGTTGTGTGCAGGCGGGAGGAGGCCATCTGCTGTAGGTCCTCAGCCCCAGAGGGGGTCAGGCAGCTGGCCAGGACTTGGAAGCCCTTCTGGTCAAGTTGCAGTGCCAGAAGGCGACCAAAGCCCGAGTCACAGCCAGTGATGAAGATGAAGGCATCGCTGGCAGGCAGCCTCTGCCGGTCTCTGAGCAACCACACCATTGCCCACAGCAAGGCACCCAGGAACAGAGGCAGCCACATGGTTGGATGTGATATCCTGCAGACGGCAGCCTAGGCTGGGCAGGACAGCTTGTCATTTCCTCTACCCCTCTAGCCCTGGCCCCTAATGTCTACTGTGCTGGAAATGTCTGGTCTGAGCAGACAAACCAAGCAACTATATGCTTGGCAGATGATTGGCAAGTTATGGCTTATTGTGCAGACACTGTTTTTGTAGTTAATGAAATAACCCGGACCTGCCTGGTCCTATGTCAGACTTTCTGTGTGGGAGCACAGGGACCTGGGTTACCATTCTATTAAACCAGGAACATCAAAACCTTGAGTGCATCCTTGCTTGCTTTCGGGACCTAGAGCCTTCCATTTCAGTCCTGCTAGCCTCAAAGTCAGTGTGAGGCTGGATGTCTACAGTCTATGTTGGAACCTGTTTTCTCAGTGAACTGGGCTACAAGGTCTACTAGTCCCACTTCAGTGTTGTGGAGCTCAAAGGGATGACGTGTGAGGACAATACTCAAAGCTTAAAGCTCCAAAAATCATTGTATGCCATCCTTAGCTAGTCTTTATAGCAACCCAATTCCCACGACCACTTACCTCTGGGGAGAGTGGGCAGGCGGCACAATGTGCGAAACTAGCTTTTTCGTCTGCTTAAGAGACTCTGCTTGTAGCCTTCTCAGGCTCCCACAGCCACGGCCCAAGTCTGGAGTGGGTGGACGCTTGCTGTGAGCAGGAGTGTCAAGTGTCTGTATGCTTTGGGGAGGTGAGGGCAGTGAGGAGGAGGAGGAGGAGCTAAGAGGCTGAAGCCTCCCCGGCTGAAGCAAGGTTTTGGCAGAGGGCAGCACTGATATCCCCCCCCCCCCCCCCCCCCCCCCCCCCCCCCCCTTTCTTAGACTGGGCTCCTCACCATCTTTGCCACTGTTTCCTAGAGGTGGGAACTACCAAGGATGGCAGCTGCCCCTGTCTGTGGGTGTCCCTGGATCTGTCATTTTTCTTCCTTCTCAGCCCTGAAGTGCCCCCACGATTTAATCTCCCACCTGGCCCAGCCTCCTGACACTGCTTAGCAGCCTGGAAGAGCACGAGCTTGCTCACGAGGTGAGGCAGAGGGCCAGGCTGAGGACTAAGTAGGTCTGCTCCTGCCTTAGTTCTGGCCCAAAGGAAACTGAAATCTGCAAGTGCTTCTGGGCAGGCAGGTTATGCAAAAGGCACCTGCACTAGGCCCAAGGAAGAATAGGGTGGTAAAAGCGATAGCGTCACCCACCACCAAAAGGGCTTGTCCCACAGGAAACAAGCTCAGAGTCCACTCAGAGCCCCCACTACCATCTAGGAGCTAGTGACGCCTTCAAACACACCACAAAGAATGGAAACTCGCGTCTTTATTCATGGCCCACCAGCTCCCTCCCGGCCAGGAGGGTGAGGTGGGAGGGATGGGCTCTAGGCTAGGATGGAGCTGACTGCAGCTGCCCTTTGTAGACATACTCCAGGGCAGTGGCGATGGTGCGCATGTCCAGCTCAATGCTTCGGGCCCAGTTCTCCACATCCCCAATTTCCTGGGAAAGGGGAGAGGAGAATGGACGCCAGGAGTCAGGGTGGGTGGACTATGGTCCCAGGCTGAGTCAGAACCCCCAACTGCTTTCTGTCTGTCTGTTCTTTGAGATGGATTACTGCTATGTTGCTCAGGTTGGCTTCAACTCCTGCGCTCCAGCTATCCTCCTGTGTCAGCCTCTAGAGTAGCTGGTAGTACTGGTCCACGTATCATACTTAGGGTTTTCTGAGTACTTGTGTGTATGTGTGTTAGGGACTGGCCCCAAACATGGTCCTAATCATGTGTCACTGAGCCATATCCTGAGATCCTGCCTTTTTTCTCTCTAGCTTTTCTGACACCACAGCCACAGAAGGTCTATCTAGGGCCATCCCCACTTCCTCATTAACCCTAGGTCTGGGCTAATTATGAGACTGGAGACAGCCCCTGGCGGGGCTCAGGGAAAGGCAGCAATGTGTTGCGTGTGACTCACCTTGAGTGCCTGGTTGAAGTTCTCTACCATTCCAATCCACTGGCCTGTTTGCTTGGCAAACTGGGCAGCCTGGACCTGCAGTGTCTTCACCTCATGGTCCAGCTTTCTCTGGTTCATGTACGCCTGGGCCACACTAAGGAGTGGAGGAGGGGAGATGTCAGCTCCTCCAGCTCCTAGGGGGTGGTCTTCAGGGGTAAAGGTCTTCTACAGTGGTGGGAGATCAGCCAGAAGGTAGGACTGGGGAGGCCTTGGGATTCTGGCCTTTTCTGGAATTGACCCAGATGAGGCAGGCTCCTTCCTCCAACTCCAGGGTTACCAGGAAAGCCAAGTTGGAAGCTGACTACAAACAAACCATCTCCTATGCTCTCAAGAAGTTTCTGTAGCTGAGATAGAATAGGGAGGGTTAACCTAGGGAGCTATCCCTAAGGAAAAGGCTGGGAGGGAAAAGGGAGCGTGGGAAAATTCAGCAGCAGGGCCACATCTGGCAGTCATTTGAAGCCCAGTGATCTATGTAAGAAGTTTCGAAGGAAACCAGCCCCTCCCTGAATCTGGGGCGGGATGGGAGAGTAAACCCCCTCCTCAGAAACCCTGGGTCAAATTAGCCTATCCCACGAGATTTTCTTGGCTCTTTCTAACCTTTTTGAGACGCGGTCATATGTAGCTCAGGATGACCTCAAACTTACTGTGTGGATGAAGCTGGTTTTGACCTCATCTTCCTGCCTCTACAGTCCAAGTGCTGGGGTTACAGGCATATAGGCATTCCCCATGACATCCAACTCTCCCACCCTTATTCCTTTCAGCCACACAGATGCACACAGCCTACTCCTGTTCTTATCTCGATCAAGGGGCTGTGCTTACCATTACTATTTACTATCATGGTGCTGGCTTCCATCCTCCATTAACGAATTTTGCCGTCACCTTTACATAATCACTGTTCCCTCTCTTCCTAGCAGATGACCTTTTCATTCCCTATCCCAAAGCTCTAGGTCAGTAAGGAGACTCCACATCCGGTGCCCCCACCCACTGGAATGTGAGAGGGCAGAGGAGGCAAAGGACTGGGGGTGTTCAAGAAAGTCGGCAGGGCACCTGACAAGGGCTGAGACAGACTAAGCCTTTGTTTTATTTTCTGGAGAACAAGAGCTGTGGGTAGCAACACAAAACCCTTTCTAATCTGGATTTGGCTTAGCTGCCCTCCAAGCTTTGAATATAGGGTGGCATATAGCAAGCAAATAGAAAAGAGACCTCTGGCTGGCCTCACAAATAGTAGCAAGGGAAACGCAACATGGGTGCTCTGAGAGAGAAGAGCTGTCTGGAGATAGGGTGCCCAGAGGCTCCAACCACAGCCATTTTTTCCCCTAACCTACCCTCAGGAGGAGTTAAGAGAGATGACCCCAGTGCCTGCATGACTCCCTGATGACTCAGTCTCTGCATTTACAACCAGGCTGCTCTTCTCGCCCTGAGTGGAAGGCATAGTACGTGCTTCCTTTCTGCCCGCAGACAGATCAGCATCTCTGCACTCTGCTGACTCACACAGGGCCAGGAAATCGCTTCAAGTCTTTTGCTATCATTGGTCTTCTCATTGAGGAGTGAGGTTGGGGGTAGGGTCTCTTGAGACCCAGAAAGAAGAAACAGCTTGGTTTTGTCACAGCTCTTGGCATATGCTCTTCCTACTTTTACCAGCTGTGCCATCTTGTTCCTGCCATTTGTTTCCCAGGCTTGCCAGAGAGTAGGAGGTGAGGAAGGAAAGAGGGTATGTGGTGAAAGAGGCTGTCCTTCCCTCCCACCAAGGGACAGCTGGACTTAAAAGGGTGAGTTAGCCAGATGGCATCAAGTTAGGATGTGCCAGGAAGTTAGTGTGGGGAAGGGGAATTCTGGCTGTTTTTCTGACCACTGCAGCTGCTTTGCTCTCATCCAGTGTTAGGGTGTCAAAGCTGACTCAACTTTCCATAAAGTTACATTAGTGGGGAGGGGACAGGCCAGGGAGTTACTGGAGCACCTGATCCTGCAGGAGGATGGTCCAGACCCTGCCTAAGCAGGGTGGATGGAAGAAGCTGGAGCTGAGGGAAGAGGTGCATACCCCACATTGAGGTGATCCACCAATGCTTCGGTCAGGCAGGTCGCCGCAGTGATGGCCTCTCGCCTCCTCTTCTCTGGGAGAGGGGGAAAGGGATTGGATATTTGAGAGGTGGTGCTAATTGGTCTCCACACGCTTGTTACTGTTCTGGAAACTGCCAACTAATGTCAGACCTTTTAAAAAGAACATCCCATACATAAAACAAACCCCTTTATTTTGGAGGTGAGGAAACTGGCACCCTTAGAGGGGACAGGACTCCGTCACGCACGCCCAGGTTTTCCACAGAAACCCTTTCTCCACTACTCTGGGCAATGGTTTGGCAACTCCATGATTCCCAATCCGGGCCTTAGGAAAGCGGCGCTTCCTCGCGTTAGCTGTGCGGCAGATCCGCTGGAATCCAGCCGCTCCCTGGGCGGTTCCCAATTCCCTCCCACTTCCGGGGTGAGAGGCTGCCAGGGCCAATGGGCACCGCGTGTCAAGAGCCAGGGGCTGGGCTCACACGCCGCCCGGGCGGGATTGGGGGAGTTGCCGAGGGGACCCTGGCAGTGCGGAGGGCACCAGGGCGGGTTGGCACTTCCCAGAAGTGCCCCCCCCGTTCCCTGCCCTGCTTCCTGGCCGCCCGCTAGCCGGCGCCCTCGCCGTGATCTGGGAGGTTACCCGAGGTCCGGGCTTCCGGCAGAAGCTAGGCCGCGGCCGACGGGACACTGCGCTCACCCTGCAGCTCCTTGCGTTCATTCTGCTTGGCCTGGTGTTCTTTGAGCAGGCGGGAGAGCATAGTCGAGTCTGGCTGTGTGCGGACGCGACGGGCCCTTCCCTAGGGCTGCGGGAGCTAGGCTGCGCCTTGGCTCGCGTGGGACGGAGTCACGTGATCACAGCGTCACGTGACACGGAGCCTTCCTCCCGGGGAGTAGTGGAATAGTGGAGCGCTAGCGGAGGGTCTGCTGGCTGAGCTGCTGTTAACCGGGCTCCGCTTTCAGAGTTGGGAGCGCTTTCTGTAGTTGGTCAAGCTGAAGAGCCAGTTTTCACAGGCTCTGGCTTCAAGGCCTACAGAGGCTTGGTGTCCTCATGCTGCCGGTTCTGTTTCTGGGGTAGCAGAAGCTCTGCGAACTCATTGAAATTCTTTCTCTTCCCTCACCTTAGCCCCTGGCAGTGCTGGCCGGCTGTCAGTGGTTTCCAAGTGCCCTTTCCCTAGAAGAGAATGCTTTCTGTTCTTTCTCAGCACAACACTAAGGTTCCCTCAGCTCTGGGTGATCACTGCAGAGAAGTATTTCAGGCACCTCAAGCGGCCTTCTAGGGAGCTTTGCTAACGTTGCGGGCTCTGAGTGGGGAGCATGCAAGCCCATCCCTGTCCTTTTGTGGTCAGGGAATGCGAACCCGTTTTAGTCCTAACAGAAGCGTGCGTGCTACTGCCAAAGCGAAAGGTAAATTATACAGTGCCTCTCCGACTAAGAAGGAATGCTTCCAGGCTAATTCCAACGAGAAAAGTCATAAACACCATCA